GTGCATGCGCGTCAAGTACGGCTGAGCCAAAGCAGTGACGCCTGAGGTTGGCGTGCAGGCTTCAAGACGCGTGTGCGGGCGAAGCTGGCCCTCTCAGGCGCGGCGCGGGCGCTGGGCCGCGCACCGCTGGGTGCGAGGTCGAAGCTGGGTGCGGCCTGTGCGAGGGCCGTCAGGGCGGAGTACTCCTCTGGTGGCAGCACCAGCTCCGCTGACCTCACGTACAGCGCACCACCCTCCTCCCTGCCAAGCATATTTGTTTTGGTGCGACGGGGGGCAGATTGGGGAAGGAGGGGGCAGCGAAGAGTAATGCTTTTGTTTGAGAGGGGGGAGGGGGGGTGCTCGATAGGATGAGGGGGTGCGAAGCGGGGTGGAAAGAATCAGGGACTTGCAGTGGCGCCTGATGAGCGCAGCGGGCGGGGCAAAGCCGCGGCCGGCCCAGGGGCACCGCGTGTAATCAGAGGAGCGGGGCGCGGCGCTGAGGCTGTGGCGCACCTGTCGTAGTCCCGGGCGAACGCCCACAGCAGCATCGCCCAGCAGCGCGCCGCGGGCGCCTCGCCCTCCAGGGCAGAGCCCGGTGTCGCGGGACCGGGCCCCGGCTGCGAGCCGCTGCTCGGAGGGGCGCCGGCTGACGGCCCCGCATCCGACAACAGGCGCCGGCCGCTCGCTGCCCTGTCCCTGCGGGCGCCGCTGACGCTGCTGTTGCCGCTGGGCCTGGTGGTGTTGCTGGCGGGCATCGTGTTCTGGGCGCCACCCTCAGACGCCTTGTACGCGACAACGGGGTCGCCGGCGGCGGGCCCGAGCCCGGTCAGCGTCAAAAAACGCAGCTCAAGGAACGCGGCGCGCGCGCTCGCCGGCAGCCGCAGCAGCGGCGCCGCGGCACCGCTGCCGCCGCCGCCGCCGCCGCTGCCTTGTGCCCCCAGGTCGACCGCCGTCTGCCCCTGCGACACGCCTGCAATCACGGTGGCGCGCGGCACGCGCGCGCCGCCGGGAGGCGGCCAGCCGGGCGCGCTGCCGGGGGCGAGGCTGGTCGTGCGCGCTGTCAGCAGCAGCACAGACTCTCCGCCGCCGCCACCGGGCGCAACAGGGCCGGCGAGGGCGGCCTGTAGGCGACCAGAGGGTGTGCATGGGCGGGGGTGGGTGCAGAGCGCAAGAACGGGTGGGCCGGAGGGGTGGCGCATGCGGCAGGGGGGTCGCAAAAACAAGGAGCGGCCCACGGCACAGCACCCAACGCAGCGCCTCAGGTCATTTCAACGTGTGCGGCCGGCATGTGGGCCAGCAAACTTGAGGACCGCCTGCGACTAGGCCTCAAAGTGCGAGAGGGCCGCCCAGATCCCACGCCTCCCAAATGCCCCCCGACCACAACTCCCCCGGTCTCCCCTGCCCCTCCCCCTCCAGCGCAGCCAAGCAGCCGCACCCGCAGCTCCCCGGCTCCGCGCACGGCCTGCAGCCCCTGCACCCGCCAGGGTAACCCCGGCCCCTGCGGCGCGGCGCCGCGTGCGTCGGGCGCCGGCAGCGGCAGCTGTGGTGCTACGCGGTTGCGGTCCGCCAGCAGCACGTCCTCATAGGCTGTGCCCCCTGCCCTGAGGTCGAGTATGGTGACCGCGTCGTCAGGGCCGGGGCGGACCTGCCAGGGCCGGGGGTGGGGGAGAGCACATCCCTAACGGCACGGTGGGCGGTGTGTATGGCTGGCGGCAGGGAGGGCGAGAAGGTCTGCGCCGGGGATCCGAGCAGCGTGGGACCTGGGAGGCTGCCCCGCCATGCGCGCCCCACCATCGCGCCCCTCTCGCCCACGGCCTGGACATGCTGGCCCCTCACACACCCACCCACCTTGTAGGCTGTGACGCCGGCCTCTGACCCCATCCAGTCCGCAGAGGGCGCGCCCGCCTCAAACAGGGACGACCAGTAGACGGCTCTTAGAGCCTGCAAGGGGGGCGGGGGCGGGGCGGGGCGCGCGTTGTGGGCAGGCTGCCAAAAGGCACGGGGCGGGCGAGCGCCGGGTCTGCGACAGCGAGCGCCTCGTTGCGAGCGCGAAGGCACCGGTGGCCCTGTCAGGCCCAGGGGGGGCTTCTGGCCTCGCCATCGGCCGGGGTCAAGGGGTCCCGTGCTGGACACGAGTGCACAGTGCACATGCGGGCGCCCATAACAAGCGCAACCGGTGCTGGCGCCCATTACGAGCGCAGGCGGTGCGCCCGCGGATGCTTCAGCTGTCGCCTTCGGCCACGCAGGTCCCGGGGTCCCTTGCCCCCCGCCCCCCCCCCTTCCCCCGCACCTCGGCCCGGGGGACGACCGCCGTGCAGTTGCGCAGCGTGAGGCGCGGCTGACCGCGGTCAAAGCTGAAGGCCCACAGGGAGAGCACCGACCGCAGGTCCGCGCCGCGCGCCGTCGCCGCCGCGGCCGCGTCCCCGTACCCGAGGTTCTCCAGCAGCAGCGAGTCCAGGGTCAGGTTGGCAAACGGCCCCGACGCGACGAGCTGGCCGGCGCGCAGGCGGAAGTCGATCGAGGTGGGGTCCAGCGCGCGGCCGACCAGGATGACGGGGCGCGCGATCGTGATGCCGGCGCGAGAGGCAGGGGGCACTGCGCCGCCCGAATCACTGCTGCCGCCGCCGCCGCCTCCGAGGGTGACGTTGCCGCCTATGTAGACCAGCAGCGGCTCAGGCGTCTCCACGCCGGCGTAGCGCCGCAGCAGCGGCGCGAGCGTGTCGTTGGTGGCGCTCAGCACCACGGGCGCGGGCGGGTCGAGCGGCATGCCGGCCAGCGGCTGCCGCAGCTGGCTGTCGCCGGCGCCGACGAGCAGGACGCCCACGTTGGTGGCGCGCGCGCCTGAGGGGGCGGTCCACTCGTTGAGGTGCAGGAAGGTGCGGTTGTCCTGGCGGCGGGTGGGTGGGTGAGGGGCGCGGCTTATATGGGTGCGAGCGACGCTGGGGCTTGCTCGCAGCGGGCCACCGCGACGGGGCCGGCACTTGAAGGCGGCGCTGCTGCTCCAGCCGCGCCGAGGGACGAGCGTGTGGCCGGCACGAAGCCGTGACAGGGGTCCCTGCTCCCCCCCTCCCCTTGGCCCACCGTGTAGAAGCGTGCGGCGGGCCCGCACCCCGCGGGCCGCAGGGCCAGCATGAACGCGGTGTACTGCTCCAGGACGGTGTCACTGGTCAGCACCAGGGTGTCCACCAACCACAGGCTGGCCGCGCGGGACGCATCCAGCCACGCGGGGCTGAGCGCCCCCCTGGGGTCCCAGGGCGCCCCCAGGGTAGTGTTGACCAGGGTCAAACGCTCCAGGCGCGCGTGCTGGCCTGGGGTGGGGGCCGCAGGAGTGGGTGGTTGGCAGAGCCCGCAGGTGGGAGGGGGGGGGGTGCGCAAAGCGTTCATGTCAGCGGCCGGGCCGTGGAGGAGGGAGCGAGGGCCGCTGCAGCGAGGCGCGACGCGTGCTGCGCATGCAGCGCAGCCTGTTTACAAACGGGCCTGGCCGAGGACAGCAGCAAGGGTGGACAGCCCGCGGGCGGATTGCCGGCGCCGCGGGAGGGCTCATGGATGCATGTGTGCGCTCATACCACGCGCGCGGCGGTGCCCTCCTCACCGGGGCTCACGGCCAGGACGGGCGCCTGCCCCTCCATGGGCTGCCCCGGGACTACCAGCGGCGCCAGTCCGGCCAGCAGGCCGCTGGTGGAGCCAGGGGAGCCGCTGAGGGGGGG